TTTTTTTTTCAATATTTTCTGTCAATTCTTCAGCTTTCTTAACAGATAACTGTCAATTCAATAGATCAGCTGTACTAATATTCAACAAATATAGTGGCTTTTAAACTGCTTCTTTTTTGTGACCAAATTCAAAAAAGTCATTTTTTTCAATGTTAAAATATGTGGGTATAAGGATGATCACATTTTCAATTTTCGTTTACTGGTGCTGTAGCAGTCAGTTTGATACTCATTTATCCGCTGATATTACTACCGACATTAAGAATAGTAATAATTATAGACAAAAATTTTTCTAATACATATTTTGCTTAAGAATGAGTTCGTTGACCGAATAAAATTATTCCTACAACGTTTTTGTTTTGCAAATGGTGATTAAAATATATTCTATTATTGACTGGTATGCAGTCATCTCTTAGTCGACATTTTATTCTTTTGACTTAGACAATTTCTTCATTGTAAATATTGTTTCTTCGAAACTAAAACTCTGTTGATTTCGATAAGTTTTAAGCTTTTAATTCTTTATTTCTAATCGTTAAATAAACAAAATTTTACTTTGTCATTATTTTCTTAAATTTCTCTTTTTTTTTTCCTTTAGACTTTTTAGCCAATTATAAAAAAAGTTCCCTTTATTATTTTTTTTTTGACTGTAATCTGTAGTAAAATAAGCAGATTGTTTTATTTCCAAAATTTTTATTTTACTAAAAGTAATCTGATTGATACCGTATAACTTCTAAGTGTGAAGTCATTTTTCTTCCTTTTTTTTTGGGGGGGCTCTTAGTTAACGTTTTTTTCATCAGAAAATAAGCCGTTGTGAGTAACTGAAGCTGAATATCATCACTGTTACAGATTCTTCTTTTCAAAAGATCCTTTGCAAATCTGTTGTGGACATACAGTGTCGGTAATAAAAGTTGTTTTAATGAAAAGACTTTTTGTTGTCTTTTTGTTTGTTGCAATTGTCGTTGTACATTCATGCAAAGAGGATTCTGAATGTGAATGTCATTGGCCGCGTGCATTCTGCCGCAATGGAAGATGTGTCTGTCCAAAAAATACAATTAGGTAAGTTCTTTTCTGTTTTCTTTCCAATGTATTTAATTGACATGTTTTTTTTTTCTTTTTACTTGAAACTGCTTATAGGTTAAATATTACTGAGTTATTTGGAAGGCAGTTATATAACACTGAAATTAGCGCGCATTAGAAGAATCAATAAAATTTTTGATAAATAATATTCTTGTTTGTTTTTTTTTTTTTTTTTGCTGACTAAGACTAGACATTAGTTGCATTT